GGGCAAGAATACACCTTACAGAGTTTCATAATTATGAGTAAAACAGACAAATCTTAAACATTTAATGCTCAAATACTTGTCACTGACCTTGAGGACATCTCCACGTTTGAAACTAAGCTCATCATCAGCAGTAGCTTTGAAATCGTATTTGGCAATGGCCTCCATGGTCCTTATAGCGTGCTGTAAAACTGCTTATCTGCAGCCGTTTCAGTGACTGAAGAGAAAAAAAAAAAAACTAAAAAATGTATCCAGGCTTCTGTGATCAAATACTTTCTCTGCGTCTCTCCTCCTGTCAATGACCCGTTCCCTTAGGTTTGAGACCTCACATAAAGGTGGCAGAAAGGTACCTGCAAAAAAACAAACAAACCAAAAAACCCCAATGTGAACAAATATAACTAAACAGGCAAATGTTAACCCACGAAGCAAAATTAAAATAGTCTATATTGCATTTTTAGTCTTTAAATTTTCACTAAAAATGCATACTGGACATACGATTCAACTTTATCCCCATTTGACTTCTGAACAACCTCCAAAACACAGCACAATTTCATGACCAGTGGCAGAGCTCTAACCAGAAATTATCAGAGGATAAGGGAACAAAGTTCACTCCATCGAGTGTCAATTTCAACAGACCTTCCAGACAGCCAACCACCTGGCCCGATCAAAGATAAGACGGTGGTTACTTAAGTAGAGAGGACAGTGATACGCTGGCTAAACCTATGGCTATTTAGTTAAACAGATAAAGTTAAGCTATCTAATTAGTTTGCTGCTAATATGCTACCGTACAGCCCTGATGGGCTTTCGCTAATACAACCGTGCGTCTAATAAGGCCTTTAAACCTGACAGTCTACCAGATGACCACAGAGGAACAGCAAACGGATGAGAAATCATTTTTTCCTCTTTTGAAAATCTGCATTTCCTTTTTATTTTTGAGAACCTAACTGTTAGGCAATAACAAACGACACATGACATATTTTTCTAGAGAAAACGAGTTGCCGTCACCGGCTCATCAAGTCCAAAACGTTACTACATTCGCTTTCGTTCGTGTCTTTTGCAATAACAAAACGCCAAACAACTCATTGCTAGTCAGCGTTACCGAAAACAAAAGAACAAAAGGCATCGTCGCTGTCAGAGGTGCCATTAGGCTTAGTATTAAAAAGGGAAGCTTGAAGTCCAAAGGCAGACTGTAGCTAACCTTAAACATGACAACCTTCTCACACGCCCATATTATTGTGAAAATTATGTGGAATTTTTTTCATTTCAAAAAGGGCATGAAGAGCAACAGAGTATGGTTTTATACAGCTTTTTTCTTTTTTTTAGTCGCGCTCGAGTGAATCGATTCCGTTCCAGCCAACAGACTGCGCCCACTGTTCTAGAACGCTACAGCTAGCATGCCGGCTAACGGTCGGACAACAATAACTGCGATGCAGTATGGTTATCAAACCCGAACCTCAATTCTTCCGCACCGGACCATCTGACATCGACATCACCTAAAGCTCGTGGCTGGTCTGAAATAAGTGTGGGGTGTTTCTTAGCACCCGAGGCCTAGTCGCTAGTTTAACGCTAGCAAATGTGGAAAGGAAGAAAACATCTTTTTTTTTTCTTTTTTTTAAACATAGCGCAAGCTGTTATTGCTACTGCTAGCCCAGCTAACGTTACTGAACTTCACTAAAACAGCGTCATGAAATAAAACAGTACACAACTTTTGAGTTGACAAAACGCGTAGTGAAAACTCACCACTTTAGATATTCCGTTTCGATAGTGTCACTGTATAAAAAAAATCAGCAAAACTCTGTCGTGTAATTATCCACTCCCTGCTTCCTCTAGAGGCAACCAGCAAGGTACGTGTGGTGTCGCTTACACCCGTCCTAGAAGCCTAAAAAACTAGCCACTAGCATAAGGTTTATGACGCTCATTTCCGCTTCCTTCCAAAGAACTGGGAGGATCTGCCTCCGTGTACGTAAGCTCCTCCCTGCTAGTCTTTTTCAGTGTTAAGGAAAATACTTTTCGCAGAGACATACTAGTAGTTAAGATTCACTCACTCTAAATCGTTCAATTTCTTTTTTTTTTATCAACAGCTAAATATCACCTGTTTGTACCACGTGATTAAGGCACTCAGATCAGTTTAGCCAAGATAACTTTTAAATAATCTGGCTTAACTAAACCTAACGTCAGCAATTACACCAGCTAATCACGTGAAAATGGCACTCTGAAAGGTTATCCAAGAGGCAGTGACACCGCAGCATGGGCAGAACCAAACTGTTTTCATAATCCTCAAAAGAAGAACAAACTATAACACGGAGAGAAAAAGAGGAAATAAAATATGTAATCCAAGATGAAAGAAACTCAGCTGCAATTAAAGAAAGGAAAGCTGGCAAAAGATGACAACTGTGCAAGCCAGTATTATCACTAACATCACTACCTGTGAACAGATCGGACTTAATGGATTCAGCCGCAAAGAAAAGCTATAGGAAATGTCAGTAAACTTGTCCACAAGGAATCCATGTGACTACCTGATAGCCAGGCTGCAGTTTGTGAGATTAGGCAGAGCTTTGTCTGATTTGGTGACAGTAGTAGTAGCTCTACAGGAGACTCTGCTGTCTCCATTTCCGTGTAGTTTGTACAGAGACGTTCAGTACAATTGCAGGTCATGGCACTTATAGAAATAATCTGATGACAATAATCTGATTCTGGTTGGGTGTATTAGTGATGAGCAGGAGAAAGAGGAGTATAGAGTACTATAGGATGATGTTGTGGAGTGGTAGTAAGTGGTAATAAGATCAGACAGGTGATCGACTTCAGAAAGAAGAGGATGGCTACATGAATGTTGATGTAGTGGAGGACTAAAAGTACCTGGGCATCCACACTGACAACAGGCTACACAAAGAAGCCGTATAAAACAAGAGGATGAGATGGCTCTTTCCCGTTGAAGCTGAGATCCTTCAATGTATGCAGCAAAAATGATGACCACCTTCTGTAACACTGATTCAGCTTCACTGCCACATGCTATCACAATATATCTGACAGAGAGGCACCTACCAGATAATATTATCATTATCATTAATATATTATTATTCATCATCTCAGTTGTGTAACAAACGAATACTCCCAAAACGGGATAAAGATTTATCATCATCATCATGTCTTGTGGACTATATGTTTATCCTTATTCTTTGAGCTAAAATCTTGTGGTGTCTAATGATCGTGAGATGCCAAAAAAATCATAATTGTGGTGAATAGAAGGCATTTAAGGTCAACAAGCCTGCAATACTTTAGGACTCTCATGTAGAATTGATTGGTTATAAAAAGCTTGCAGGCAGCAAAAAAATAAAACAAGCGATAAAGTCCCTTATTATTGATCCTAATGGAAAGCTAGGAATTTGAGACCATCTCACTGACAACTCATTGATCTGTGGGCTCTTCTGGGAATAACTACAGTGTCTTCAGAGGGACCTGATTGGTCAGTAGGCGTTGGATTTGTAAGCGTTGATCTGTTGTCTTGAATATAACCTGCTCCAATGAGTGAATGACCTTTATGGCCCTGAAAACTTGTGATGTTGTCTCATGTTGTCTCGAGTCTCTCTTTCAGTCACAGGCAAGCTGCAGGATGGCTATGCATTAATTCATTCACAGACTTTCATTGAGTTTTTCAGCTGTGTGTCCTGGCTTAACCTTATAGCTTGGTCATCTTCTAGTTTACTTTAAACAGCCTACCTGATTGTCAACACCATATCTGACAAGACAAAAGGACTGCCAAATATGTAAAGGCAGAGAAGTGAACATGTTCACTGTAAACTAAACATTTACCAACGCCACACCCTAGTTCGTTCCCCCTTGCCACAAAACTGTCACCCATATCTATCATTATCCAACAAACTACAATTAACTACTATCACTGTTAACTATAGTCACATACATAACACATTTCTCACTTAGATGCATTTATGTCCATCTGATTCAGTCTGAAATGGGAAATTAAGAACACAGATTCATGCATTTTAGCTGCAGTGTAATAAATTAGACTACTAGGTTAAAGTAGGACACATTAGAGAACGCAGGAATGCAAATTTCTCAATATTATGTTCAAGGATCCATATGGCTTCGGGCATAAAATACGATATGTATAAACGCCATCTCATAAAGCTCTACTTGGCTAATTGCTGGAATATTTGGTCTTCTGTTTTCCTGTTTTCATTTCTTGCACATCTGCTTTTAATCCTGGCCTTTGACAGCAGAGGTATTAAAACCTTGACAATGCTGCCACCTAGTGGGAATAAACAAAAATGGGTTCTTTCTGTGTTTAACCACGCAAGGGTTGCTACCAGAAGTACTTAGCCATATGTTATTACCGCACAGTTGAGATAAGAAATGTGCATATCTTTTCCAAATATTACACAGCAAACAATATGGAGAGTGACACTGTTCAGTTGGACAATTAATTAGACTGTTTATAACAATTAACCTATATCGTGTGACCTCCATCATAACGGCATTGTGAATGATAAAGCTATGTGGTCGGACGGCTAACGCTTTTTAAAAGAAAATAAGGTGGAATGAAGCGAGGATATCGTCCATTAGGTATTCACTCAAGAATGACTTCCAGTATTACTCACACTGGCGGCGGAGAGTATAGCTCACAGCTGTTCAGTGGGTGACGACACAAACATAGAAATAAGAATGATGATTTTTTCTAAGGGTCTCCGAGTTGCGGAGTACTTTATCTCGCTGTTGCCAAATAACTCAGAGCAAACGCGAGCGCGCGCGTTTTATCTGTCGCGTGCCTGCTGAAGTGTCTTGGACGACAAAAACATGCGCGCGCGGCTGAACCACTGCTATCAAAGCCATAAAGCAACAGTTTAAGCTGGATTTTTGTATGTATATGTATATTTAAAATATGCGTATTTTCTCAAGCTCATCTATCTTCTTTGCCTTAAACTGATATATAAGTTATTTTAGAGTATATTCGTATTATTCTTCGAGGTTGGATGGAGGACTACATTATGAATTCATCTTCTTCGTACCTCAGCTCAACTGACAATCTGGAAAAAGGTAAGCTTTTCTTCTGTTGAATTGGGCACATGCTTACAGATTTATCACCAGAGATGAAATATTATGTTGTTCATTTTCATGCAAAAAGTAGTTATTGAGACTTTGAAAACAAATGAATGAAAAAAAGTTATAAGGAAAGAAAGCTGACGGAGAACATTCTGTTTTTGTCTTTTCTACCAGATCATGAGCAGTACAACAATGTGCTCATGCCCAGCATCTTTGGTGTTATTTGTTTCTTTGGGATCACTGGGAACTGCATTCTCATTTACACCATTGTGAAGAAGACCAAGTTCTGCTCTCATCCATCAGTGCCAGACATATTTATCTTCAGCTTGTCCATCGCAGACCTCCTCTTTCTCCTTGGCATGCCTTTTCTCATTCACCAGCTCGTGGGCAATGGCTCCTGGTGCTTTGGTGGCACCATGTGCACTGTCATCACAGCGCTTGATTCCAACAGCCAGATCGTCAGCACGTACATTCTGACTGTCATGACTCTGGACCGCTACTTGGCAACAGTCCACCCCATCCGCTTCAAACACGTTCGAACCCCCTTTGTGGCAGGGGCGGCAGTGGCGCTGGTGTGGGTGTTTTCTCTGGTCTCCATTACTCCGGTCTGGATGTACACTGGACTCATGGGTCTCAAGGATGGCTCGGTCGGCTGCGCCCTCCTGCTCCCAAACCCGGCCACAGATACATACTGGTTCACCCTGTACCAGTTCTTCTTGGGCTTTGCTCTCCCTTTAGTGGTCATCTGCAGTGTCTTCTTCAAGATTCTTCAAAATATGTCAGCCACAGTTGCTCCACTACCCCAGCGCAGCCTCAGGGTGCGTACAAGAAAGGTGACCCGCATGGCAGTGGCCATTTGCCTGGCCTTCTTCTTATGCTGGGCCCCTTATTATATCCTCCAGCTGGCCCACCTCGGAGTACAGCGGCCCAGCTTTGCTTTCCTGTATGTCTACAACATCGCCATCAGCCTGGGCTATGCCAACAGCTGCATCAACCCTTTCATCTACATTGTGTTGAGCGAAACATTCAAGAGGCAGTTCATTGTAGCTATTCGGCCACCCCACAAAGGCTTCAGAGTTGCCCCTGCTCAGGCTGAAGGCTTGAGTTTGCGGGTTGCGCCAGAGAGCTCTCATCCATCCCGCTCGCAGTCGTCGCGGGAACTGCTTCAAAACATGCTGCCCGTCACCGTGGCCGTGCACTGAGATCGACAGCTATCTGGCCACCCCCGACCACTGCTAACTATCACCCCCAGCAACGAGCCAACTGCCAGTACAGACGTCTCTCTTTTTTCCTTCCCTCCTCGGAAAGCACCCGCTGTTTACATCAACACATGACAAGACGAGGAATTT